GTTGGTAGCTTCACACCTTTAATCCCAGCACTCAGGAGGCAGAGACAGGCTGATCTCTGTGAGTTCGAGGTCTGGTCTACAGAGTGAGTTCCAGGACAACCTCCAAAGCAATACAGAGAGACCCTGTCTCGAAAAACCAAAAAACAAAAACAAAAGAGGAACCATACCTTTCTCAGTGACTTGGCCCCTCTCTGTGGAGAGGTATTAGGTTTAATGCTTTTTTGACAGTGATACAAATCTTTGCTTCCTGTTACTCTGGTCATAGTTTCCAACTAATAAGTGGTCAATATACGTGAACTTTTTTTTTGGTGGTGAGGGGACAAGGTCTGTCTATGTAGCCCTGGCTGTTCTGGAACTCACTCTGTAGACCAGGTTGGCCTGGAACTCACAGAGATCCACCTGCCTCTCCCACCCAAATTCTGGTATTAAAGGTGTGCGCGTCACCATGCTCAGCCACACAAAACTCAAAGATGTGACACCAAAGCTGGCGATGTGACTGAGCTGGCAGCATTTGCCTGGCACGGACCCAGCCTGAGTTCTATGTCCAGCCCTGCATAAACCATGTACCTGTAATCCCAGCACTCGGGAGGTGCCAGCAGAGTCAGAAACTTAAGCTCATCCTTGGGTTCATATACAGCAAGGCCAGCCTGGGATATGTAAGAGCCTGTATGGGGACAGGGAACCACAGGACCAGATAGGCCGGTCAGGACATGTGTAAAGGCGGAGAAGAGACCTAAGAAGTCACTTTGTCCTAGAGAACACCACCCATGCCTGGCACAAGAAAAGTAGGTGACTAGTGAAAAGCCTGAGGACTCTGAATCATCTTGGAGGAAATGGCTTTCCATTTGTAATCTTTCAAATGTTTGAGGCAGCATTTCTAGGGCATACAAATGGGACACAGCTTGGGGAGCCACTAGAGCTGGGGAAGCAAAGGAGACATAATGAGCAAGGGAGAGACCATCAATCCAGAAACATACAGAACTGGGGAATCTTCACCCTAAGGGCAGGCTCTAAGGGCCTGGGATGTGGCTCCGTGCTATGTATGAGGCCTTGGGTTCTGTCCCCAGCACTGCCAATAAGCACATGAACAAAAGCAAAAACAACTAAATAGGCTAGGGCTATCCAACTCATGAAATGCAGTAGAATGAACTTAACAGAAAGAAGCCAAGTCCCCAGTAGGTTTCAAAGCAGGACACAGGAGCTAGGAGCTGGTGGCACACGCCTTTAATCCCAGCACTCAGGAGGCAGAGGCAGGTGGATCTCTGTGAGTTTGAGGCCAGCCTGGTCTACAGAGTGTGTTCCAAGACAGGCTCCAAAGCTACAGAAACCCTGTCTCGGAAAAACGGGGGGTGGAGGTCAGGACACAGTAGGGAGGAGTCAGGTTCTGCTCATGTGACCCTGTGAAATGGCCCATTTCCTCCTCTGTAAAATGGGGCCTGTCACAGATGTTGAAAGATGTGAAGCTGATAATGCTTTACAAACTGTTGGGCATAGCTCTAGCCCACAGTCAGGGGTAGCTAACTGAAAACAAAGGCCTGAAATGATATATAGGAGAAATGGAGGGGCTGGAGTTAACATTCTGAGTTAACCTGTGGGCCTGCCACCTACGTCGTTAAACAGGATCCTGCTCTCAGAATAAGTCTGGGACTTGATTCAGCACACTGCCTTAGCAACCCTGAAATTCTAAATAATTTTATGTGCATGTATGTGTATATGTGTTCACGAGTGTACAAGCTCATCTGATTTTGTATGTGGAGACCTAAGGTCTTTGGTGTTAGGTGTCATTCCTCAGGAGCTGTTGACCTTGTTTTTTGAGACAGGTACTTTCACCGAACCATTCAGCTAGATTGGCTGGCCAGTAAGCCCTAGGCTTCTCCTGTCACCATCTGCCCACAGCCCCAAGGATACAAGACATTTGTGCCCATAGTCACACCCAATCTTTTTTGTGGATGCTTGGAATCAAACTCGGGTCCTCATGTTTGCACAACAAGCACTTTACCAATTGAGCCATCTCCCCAGCCTCTGGTTTTTACCTTTGTACTTGTATTTTGTAAATAAATCCAGTATACAAAGCAGGATACGGATGAGCAGGCAAGGTACACCAGATGGCACTCAGCAGGCTCAGGCCAGCAAGTGTGGTAGGTAGTGGGCAGCACAGGTGCCTAGGAGTTGGCCTGCCCACCTGGCACGCACTCATGGCTAAGCAGTCTGTGACACTGTGGAGCTGCAAAGGAACGGGGAGCAAGAATCTGTGCCCATATGGATAGTAACAAAAGAAACAGTGTTGGCAGAAGCCCACCAAGGCCATGGCAAGGGAAAGGATTTCATGTAGAAGAGCCTGATCGTGTGGCGTGTGCACAAATGCAGCTCTGGTGTCTAGGAAAGGGCAGCACAGCCAGCACTCCAGTAGGGACTTTTGTTTTTTTTTTGTTTTTTTGTTTGTTTGTTTGTTTTGAGACAGGGTTTCTCTGTGGCTTTGGAGGCTGCCCTGGAACTAGCTCTTGTAAACCCGGCTGGTCTCGCACTCAAAGAGATCCGCCTGCCTCTGCCTCCCCAGTGCTGGGATTAAAGGCATGCGCCACCAACGCCTGGCTCAGTAGAGACTTTTGACAACAAATTGTAAAATAAAAGAAGTGCCTGAAGTTGCATTAAAGCCCACAGTTTGATTCAAAGAACCAATCAGGAAAGACTTTTTTTTTTAAATAACATGTACCGGTATTTTACCTGCATGTTTATCTATGAAACACTTGCATGCTTGGTACCCAGAGAGGCCAGAAAGGGGTGTTGGATCTCCTGAGAGTTATAGGCAATTGTGAACTGCCATGTGGATCCCAGGAATTGAACTTGGGTCCTTTGAAAGAGCAGCCAGCCAGTGCTCTTAACCACTGAACCATTTCTTCAGCCCCAAGAAAGACTTCTTAAAAGAATTTATAGCTGGGTGTTGGTGGCGCATGCCTTTAATCCCAGCACTCGGGAGGCAGAGGCTAGGTGGATCTCTGTGAGTTCGAGACCAGCCTGGTCTACAAGAGCTAGTTCCAGGACAGCCTCCAAAGCCACAGAGAAACCCTGTCTTGAAAAACCAAAAAAAAAAAAAAAAAAAAAATGTGTTCTCAAGATGCTTCATCGTTAACAAAGGCAATTTTACAATAACCTTTTCTTGTAATTGAGGAAATCAAACTGTATAAACAAGCTTGGGGCTGGAGAGACGGCTCAGCAGTTAAGAGCATTTGCTACACTTGCAGAGGACCCAGTTTCCATTCCAATACCCACATAGTGGTTCACAGTTCCAGGGGATCCATCGCCCTCTTCTAACCTCTGCAGGGACTTCACACAGGTGATGCACATACATACATACAGACAAAACATTCATACACATAAAATGAATAAATATTTGCACTTGCATGAACAAATTATTAAAATATTTACAATAAGCCAGATGTGGTAGCACACTCCTCTAATCCCAGCCATCAGGAGGTAGATGCAGGAGGACCTCAGGGAGCTCAAAGCCAGCCTAGTCTATGTAGTGTTGTCAAGCCAGCCAAAGATGCATAGTGAGATGATCCTGTCTCAAAAAACCAAAACTCACAGGGTGGTGTTTTGATCCCAACACTCAGAAAACAGAGGCAGGAGGATCTCTGTGAGTTTGAGGCCAGCCTGGTCTACAGAGTGAGTTCCAGGGCAGGCTCCAAAGCTACAGAGAAACCCTGTCTCAAAAAATCCAAACCCAAAACAAAACAAAACAAAACAAAAACCAAACCCAAAACAAGAAACAAAACTCAAACAAAAAAGAACCTATTTATAGCTAGCTTGATGGGTAAAGGCACTTGCTGTCAAGCCTGATGACCTGAGCATCATCTTTAGAATCCACATGGAGGGCAAGAGGGGGGAGGAAGCTACGAGAGTGAGAAGGGAAGAAAAGGAAGGATGAAGAGGTCATGAGGAAGCAGAAATTTTGAGTCAGGTGTAGATTAGAAGAAAAAACATATGGCAGGTAGGATTTTAGTTGGGGGTGGTAGAGGAGGAAGGGAGGGAGAAGGGAACTGGGATCGTCATGTAATTCAATCTTGTTTGTAATTCAAATATATAAAAAATAAATAAAAAATTAAAATTACTATAAAAAATAAAAATAAAAAAAGAATCCACATGGAGGAGGAAAGAACCAGCTCCCAAAAGTTGTCCTCTGACCTCCACATGTGCTCTATGGCACCCTCTCCCCATTAAGTATGTAAATGTTTAGAAAGATCTATGTAGGCTGGGAATATAGCTTAGTCCATACAGTGCTCTAGTGTATGCAGAGCCTTGGATTCTCTCTCCAGCATCACACAAACCAGGAGTGCTGGCATATGCTTATCATCCTAGCACCTAGGAGGTGGAAGCAGGATCAGAAACATTGATGGCTGTTCAGTTGGCATAGTGTTCATTATCTAAATATAAGGACCTGAGTTTGGATTCCCAACATCCATGTAAAAATCAGGCTTGGCAGTGTGTCTATAATCCTGACACAGGGAGGTATAGACAGGAGGATCCCTGGAGCATTCCCACTATTGATCAGCCAGTCTGTGCTGAATTGGTGCACTCCAAGTTCAGTGAAAGATCCTGTCTCAAAGCACTAAGGTGGAGGGCTGGTGAGATGGCTCAGTGGGTAAAGGTGCTTGCTGCACACACTTGGCTACCTGAATTCGATCCCCTGAACCCAAGTAAAGGAGAACAGACTTGACAAATTGTCCTGTGATGACCACATGCACATCATAGCATGTGTCACACACACACACACACACACACACACACACACACACACACACACACACACTTACTTCAAGGTCATTCAGAGCTATATAGCAAATTTGAGCCTAGGATACATGCAACTTTGTCTTGGAAAAAAACAAGTTAACCAAACAATAATAAACAAATAATACTTGGCCCAGGTCAGGGGAGACAGAGGATAAAGAAGCTGAAGCCACACTGGGGACCGACAAAGAAACAGTAACACAGCCCACTGGTGAGTTGGAAATCTTCACTTTATTACTATATCACCAGAAGTCACCACCTTCACTTGGTTCACCACAGATGGATGGATGTCATAGAGGAGGATGCCACAGGGCCACGGGATCCACTCTGGAGAGGCTTAACCAGGTGGGGGGAGGGTCTAGAGCAGGGCCCAAGTTGAGGGCCCACCCTTCACCACACACACACACTCGCACACACACACTCACAGATATATTGTGGAGCCTTATATTATACATCTTATATATAGAAAATATATATATTTATACTATACACAGGCAGTAACGCTGCGGGGGGGACTGGGACACCCAGACAAGAGCTGTGGGCGCCAGGGGGCGGGAGTGTCAGGGCAGGGGCAGCACTAGGAGATGGCTAGCCCAATCCATCCTCCATAAACTCTGGGGACTCCTGCTTACATTTTTAGAGATCAAAGGGGTTGTGGATCAAGGTTAGGGATGCCCCAGGGACAACAAGTGGGATCTCTTGGTTACATGGGAAAAGCCTGGAACCCCAAGAGTCTTTGAAGATCAAGAATCATTAGGGGCAGAGGGAGCAGATACTGGTAACAGTCCCCTGGGAATCAGCCCCTAGATTGCTTCATCCCAGGTGGATTGGGGGCCACCCAGGCAAAATGGCCTGTGACTGTGCAGGGTATGTCAACTCAGAAGACGGGGCTCCTAATCTCTCACCCTGTGCTTGACCTTGGATGAGACAGGAGTCTGTTGAAGGACCCCTGCAGCTATGTTTCTCAGACCGTCTTTTGTGCTTGACAGGAAAAAGGGATCCCCAATTCCATAGGGCCCAACTGTGGGGGACTATCCCCAAGGAGAGTGGGGAGAAGAGGAAAGCAGAAGCAATGGAAAGGGGAAGGAAATCAGGGTGCTGCTGGCCTCAGGTCCTCCAAAGGCTATGTATGCTCTGTCCAAGGAGGTGTGGGGGTGTGACCCCTTTCAAACCACTGAGAAGCCTGGGTCTTACTCAAATCTAGGCTTCTTGCTGGCTATCTGACATTACTACCATGGTGCTGGCATGCATCTGAAAAAGGGAACGGTGCTCACTAAGGTCCCAGCAGCCCAGCTCCTGGTCCTGTAAACTCCCCTAGCCTGAGGACTAGGAGATAGACACCCAAGGCTGGGCAGAGTTTAACCAGCACTCTGCCCTCTGCCTGACGTCACCAGCTGCCTATTGCTATCCAGGGAGAAACCAATGGGCAGTCCTCTGGTCTCTAGCACTCTCCAGCAGGAGTAGCAAAGGCCAGGGCTTCTCATAGCCTCTTGGTGGCTCAGCCACCTGGTTGGGGCATGGGACTGTACACAGAACCCCTTCCCAGGTGTGGAAAATGGAAGTTATTAACAGCCAGCTGCCTGGGGTCCTCTCCCAACACTGTGGCCCCCTAGGGAATTTGGAGACCCCAGTTTGGATCCAATCTCTAATGCTAGCTCTCTAAGCTCAGGAAGGGCAGTGGTGCTCCTTCTATGACTCTGAAGTGCTTGTCCCCTCCCTGACTGTCCTCCTTAGGCCTGCACTCCTGCCGTGTTTCCTACTGTAATGGGCCTTGTACCTCTATGTGGTTCACAGGCTCTTAGAGGACAGGCACAACAGACACCCTTGGTGACACCATACCGACATGGGTATGAGAAGAGCAAACCTGCCTGTCAGCATCCTGAAGGGCAGGGGTGAGGTGGCGGGGACACCCATTGTTGAAGCTGCCCCACAGCCTGCTGCCCTGCTTCACAAGGAACCAGCTGGTGTAAACTGGGTACACACAGGAAGATGGCACATACACTCTCCCTCTGGGCTCCCTGTCACAGAGAGGGAAGCACCTTGTGTGAGAATATGTCTTTCCTGTCCCCTTAGGCCCCATCCACTCTCTTTTCTGTCTCTGAGATAACCTGCTATTATTCTCTTTCCTGTGGCCCAAGGTTTCCCTGAGCCCACTCTGCAGTGTCTTACTTGTGAGTCATCTGGGGCAGTGTGACCTTTAGCTGTGCACTCAAACTGACCCTGTAATTGAAAGCTCCTGTCCTGGACTCCCACTTCTCCAGCCTTGAGCCCTGGCTGACCTAGGCAAGCAGAGAGAGGACAGTGTCCCATGTGGTAACCAGGGTAGAGTCACTTGCTAGATGGTTGGAGCCAATAAACTTAGGCAGCAAGGCCAGCTCTACTGTTCATACACTAGGACCTCAGGTCAGCTCCAATGCCACCTGGCCTCCTGTCTATCCAGCCATGAGCAAAGGCTTAGTGAGCCCTCCAGGAGGCAGGGATGGCCATCACTCCTTTGGGAGACTGCAAAGGGGGTAGCTGGCACACCCCTCAGGAGTCCCCCGTGGGACATGTTAAACAAGGAACAACACAAGGGGCAGGCTAGGGGAGCTTTCTAGAAGACCAGGACTGAGGAGAGGACCTAAATGGAGGAAAGCAACTGAGGCAGAAGAGGCCCTTGGTTTGCAGCAGGTCATGGTGCCTCACTGGCCTCAGGTCCTGAAGTCCCCCACAACCCCTGAATTAGAGTAACACTGACTGGCAAAGCCAGATGTAGGAATAGGAAATAAAGAGAGACTGGCAGGAGCTCTGTATCTGGCCTTCCTTGATATGGCCACATCGTCAGCTGCTTGAATGCCCTTGGACAAACTACTTTGACCTCTCAGATCTCAGTTTCCTCAACCATAAAATGGAGGTTGCCATGGCAATTCCAGGAGGACTGTTACATACCAAGGATTCTGGGGTTGATGGCCCACATCCTGTGATGGACCACACTCACCTGCAGCCAAACTTGCCAGTATCTGTCTGTCCTACCTTTCCTGCACCTGGTGCAGGGCCTCCTCAGCCCACCTTTTCCCTCTCTATTTCTCTCACTCCCCAGCCCAGCAAGGCCTGTTATAAAGTAGGTGCTTGGTAAATGCTCAAGGACACAATGAATGACTGTCACCCCTGGGTCCCACCCTCTAAATCCCTGTTGGGCACACACTTGTACACATGTGGACACACCCTCCAGGCTCCCCGACTCCCCACCCCAGCTGCACTGGGCCTCAGTGGACTCACTTGGAGGCTGAGCAGGTGCTAGGTAGGGTCACCTGGGAGGGAACAGGGTGTTTGGAAGGGGAGCTAGGATGAAAGGGCAGGGGCAGGGTAGGCGGTCACTGTCACCACCATCAAGGGGGCTCAGTAGCCCTGTGATTGGTAACCCTGGGGCTCAGCATCAAAGGCGTTGGCTGCATGCTGGTAGGTACCACCCATGCCAGCAGGGTCCGTCCCAGCGCTGGGCTCCACGTAGGGTGCATAAGGCATGCTGGAGTCCTGGCTGGGATCCATGTAGTCCTGGGAGAAGAGGGCCGAGTCGGCGCCAATCTGGTACCGTTGGAAGGCCAGCACAGCCTGACCCGCCTGGGATGGGGGCAGGCAGGGATGAGGACAGGTGGGAGGGATGGTTAAGGGAGAGACAGACAAGAAGAATATTGGGTTAGTAGAGGTTAGTTGACAGGATACAGGCAGTTACAGATGTTCGAAGCACCAAGCCTGACTAAGGGGAAGGACTGTTCACACAGCCACCCCTCCACATCCAGCCATATAGAACTTCAGGAGTCACCTGCCACAATGATCCCAAGCCCTCCCAAACTGTGTTCTCAGGAGTGTTATGTGAAATGGGAGAAAAGGCTGCCTAAAACAGAACTCTTCGACCAAAAAAAAAAAAAAAAAAGCGGGGCATTGGGGGGGCACACCTTTAACCCCCGCCCCGGGGGACAGGGGGCG